GCTTTACCGTTGACACAATTGACTAGGAAGAGTCAAGCGTTCGTGTGGACTCCGCAGTGTGAAGATAGTTTCCAAGAGTTGAAGAGAAGGTTGACAACTGCGCCAGTTTTGATTTTGCCTAAACCATCTGAACCGTTTACGGTCTATTGCGATGCTTCTTTGATGGGTTTAGGAGGTGTGTTAATGCAAAATGGGCAGGTTGTGGCGTATGCTTCGAGGCAACTCAAGGTGCATGAGAGGAATTATCCAACTCATGACTTGGAGTTGGCAGCGGTGGTTTTTGTGTTAAAGATTTGGAGGCATTATTTGTTTGGGTCATAGTGGATAGATTGACTAAATCTGCACACTTTATTCCGATTAGGATGGATTACACTATGGAGAAGCTTGCTAAGTTGCATGTGGAACGGATTGTTTGTTTACATGGTATTCCTACATGTATTGTTTCAGATAGAGATCCGCGTTTCACTTCAAGATTTTGGGAAGGTTTACAAAGAGCCTTGGGTACTAAGCTGAGATTGAGTTCCGCTTATCATCCTCAGACGGATGGTCAAACGGAGAGAACAATTCAGTCACTTGAGGATTTGTTGCGTGCTTGTGTTTTGGATCAAGGAGGTTCATGGGAGAGTCATTTGCCTTTGATTGAGTTTACTTATAATAATAGTTTTCATTCTAGCATTGGCATGGCTCCTTTTGAGGCATTGTATGGAAGACGGTGTAGGACACCTTTGTGTTGGTACGAGACGGGAGAAAGTGCTATAGTTGGTCCGAAATTGGTTCAAGAGGCTACGGATAAGATCAAATTGATAAGAGAGAAGATGAAAGTGTCTCAGAATCGCCAAAAGAGTTACTATGACAAGAGGAGGAAACCTCTTGAGTTCAAGAAGGATGAACATGTGTTTTTGAAGGTGAATCCAACTACGGGTGTTGGAAGGGCGCTTAAATCGCGGAAGTTAACACCTCGGTTTATTGGTCCTTATCAGATTTCAGAGCGGATTGGAAGTATGGCTTATCGGATTGCATTGCCGCCATCACTTTCAAATTTGCATGATGTGTTTCACGTTTCGCAATTACGAAAGTATATTGCGGATCCGTCTCATGTGGTGCAAGTTGATGATTTGGAAGTTAGAGATGATTTGACCGTGGAAGCTTTGCCTACAAGAATTGATGATAGGAAAATGAAACAATTAAGAGGAAAAGAAATTGTTTTGGTTAAGGTTGTTTGGGGTGGAGCGGCCAAAGGAAACATAACGTGGGAACTTGAAAGTCGGATGCGGGATTCCTATCCCGAGTTGTTCGTTTAGAGGTGATTTTCGAGGCCGAAAATCTTTTAAGTGGGGGAGAGTTGTAACACCCCGTTTTTGATTAAATGTTATTTAAGTTATTTTTTTTTTCTTTCCGAAATTATCAAATTAAATCTATTTTAAGAAATATATTTATTTGATATCAATTAAAATGTTAATTCGGTTATTTGAAATAAAAATATTCATAATGATAAAATACTATTTTGAGTAATATTATTTTGGTGTGTATTTGGCTTCGTTTGATTTATCGGTATAATTTAGTTTTTATGGAATAAATATTAATTAAATGTAATATGGTTTTAATAGAATTATATGATATAATTTGAATTAAATAGATCGGGCCAAATTAGAATTTTAGAAAGTTAGGGGGAGGAAAGTAAGTAGTAGTAAAATTTGTTTTATAAGATAGAAAGTAGGATAGTTGGTAAGAAGAGAAATGGAAAGAAGAAAGAAAAGAAGAGAGAAAGAGGAGAAGAGAAGAAAGGAAGCTAGGTTTGGAGTTGCAACATCATCATCATCTTGTTTCAAGAAAACCCACACCAAGGTAAGGGGTTTGATTTTCTAATGCTTATAGTTAGGGTTTAATTTGATATATTTTGGATTTGGGGAAAAATTGATGTTAGGGTTCTTGAGTTTTATTGAGATAGAAATTAGAAGAGTTAATTAGGTGGTGTTGTTGTTGTTGAATTAGTATTAAGTTAATTGAAATTGGAATGAAACAAGAACTAGTAGCATATGCATTTAAATGAAGTTTAAAAACTAGAAGAACTAGTGGCATATGCAATTGAAATGGAGTTTTGGAACTAAAAACTAGCGGTTAGTAATTGAAATGATGATAAGCTTCTAAAACTAAGTACTAGAAGTAGAGTTTAGTTTAGATATAGTTTAGAAGAAATAAAAACTTGCAGTATGTTTATTAATTAAGTTTAGTATAACTAAAAGATATAACAGTATACTATATTTCAATAGCAAATTAGCTTATGCAGTATGTCCATTTGATGAAGTAGGGAATTGTATGTCCATTTGATGAAGTTGGAAATTATGCAGTATTGGTATCAGAGTAAGAACAAGACGGTGGAAGACTAACGTAAAATATGCAGTATAATTAAGTTTATAAACTAAAGAAAAACTAACAGTAGGCATAATTGAAAGTAAATTTAGAAATTAATTAATTAATTTATGTTTTGTTTTTCTTTTCTTAATTTAATATATTAAATATTTATATTAATTAAATACAAACATGATATAAGTTAGGCGATTTAATTTGGAATTCGATTATATTCCGATTTCCCGATTTCGGCAATTTCGGTGACGGAGTAAGTTGCTCTGAATTTACCGAAAATTGACGTGCTAGCATAATTCGACGTGTAGATTAACGTAGTGAAGTTCGTTTTGCGAAATTTCGACTTTTTAAGAATCGACCCGATTTTAGTACGAAATGAAATAAATTGAGTTTAATCCCGAATTTAAGCGTTCGAGTTACATTCCGGTGACTCGATCGCGATGAGTAACATTGAGAGTAATGCCGGTTCATTGATGATGACTTTATGTTGAAATATACTTTCCGATTTGGAATTGTTTGATAGTTGATGGTTTATGTTTTGGTTGAGTAAGTAACTTGTTTGTATACATTTTACTTGACGTTGTGATTGTTAAATTATATGTATGCATGCATGTACAATAGTTGATGTTCCATTGGTTGAATTTGATGGTATGTGTATGTTAAGATTATTGTGAATCTTAATTGCATGCATTGGTTATATTGTACATTGCATGGCATGGTTGGTCTTGAAACAGAGACGGTGAAACTGTGGGTTCACATGATTTTATATACGGTGACCCTAGTGTGGGAATAGACGTAGTGACCTTGATCCGGAAGGGAAACATAGGTGGTGGAACATTGGGTCCACAATATCTAGACGGTGACCCTATTGTGGGAAAAGACGTAGTGACCTTGATCCGGAAGGGAAACATAGGTGGTGGAACCTTGGGTCCACGAGTCGGTACCGCATTCGCATACGTTGAGTCGTGTTGTGAGTCACATGCATAATTGTGCATGTTATGTATGCGTGTTGATGTGTTTGATTATGTGCCAATGTTGTTGTTGTTTGAATTATGGTTATGTGCCAAGGATGTGAGTATTCGGATAATCGGTTTACATGGTTAATGCGTTGGAAATGGATTCCTTGAGTAAGGATACTATAGGTGATAAAATGAACATGATCATTATGTATTGCTTTATTTATTGCCATTTCATTTACTTAAAATTACATGTTATATGATTATTGGAATTCTTACCCTTCTGTTGGAAAATGCTTTTGATGGCATTGTTCAGGTACCGAGGACGGTAGCGCGAGGCGCTAGTTAACGGATGCATTGGATTGCAATCTGCTTTATTTTGATTAGAGTCGAGTCGATGCTCTGGTAGTAACACATGGGGGGAATTTATTTAGTGTCGAACTCGATTATTTTGTATTTGGATCATGATGTGTATAATCCTTATTCGTGTATATGATGTTTTGTATATGTGAGACTTGATAACATATGCTTATGTGAATTATGATGGCTTGATGCCTTGAATTACGTTTTGATTCCTCCATAAATGGAGATGATGTGAAATTATGAAACTCCGTTGCGTTTGCACGAGAGAATGAAGTAAATATTTATTGTATGTTTGTTTTGTGTTGGAATGCTTATACTTTCAAACATACCCTGTCCGTTTTTCTTTAAAAACTTTGGAATGTGATGTGTGTTGTGGCATCCCTTCCGTGCAATTTTATTTCTCAGATTTTAATCTTTACCTTTAATTGGGGTATTTAGAAGGGGTGTTACAACGCCCACAAAGCTCTCCTTCGTAGCAAACACCTTCACCTCCAATGAGCTCTAATGTTTCCTTTTTTGGAACCCTAAATTATATGTACTAAAATTAAAATTGGGAAATGACTTTCGGTGGTCTTTTTTTTTTTGGGAAAATATAGGATCCACATGTGTTAATGTATCCAATAAAAAAATGAAAACAAAGATGCCAACTCTGCACCGTCTGCCACAGAAGTGTATTTTTAAAAACATAACTTAGGGTGTGTTGGATTGACGGTGGACATAATTGATTCTAGGAGAATTGAGTTTGATAGAATTGATTTTATCAGAATTGAGTTTAATATAATTGATTTATGTTTGGATACATTTATATAAAAGTGAGTTAAACAATAAATTGAGTGTAAAGATTATCCATAATCAATTTTGGAAGCAAAAGTTATCAATTCTAGCTTCAAGTAGAATCAATTCTGAAGACAGAATCAATTTTACTTTTGCCTAATTAAATATCTCAAAATCACCCATAATCAATTCTTCACCACTAAAACTGCTTCCGACCATTTCAAAAATCAAATCAAATACTTACTTAATCAGCTGAAACTAACGCCAACAAATAATAAATATATGAGAATTTGAAGGAAAAAAAAAATTTAGAGATCAAATTCAAAATCTCATTAAGTTATACACGAAAACACTATTTAAGCTAAATAAAAATGATCACTTACCAAAAACTAAAACAAAAAATATATCAGCTCTTTTTATTTATATTTTCGCTAAGCAGTTTGGGTATCGCTTTTGTGCATTCTGTTTACCGTCCGCTCGAGAAATAGAAGAAGGATCTCTATCTCTTTGCTTTTTCCCTCGCAGCAGTCACTGCTCATCGCCATGTCTCAGGTAAATGCTCTCTCTTTCCTTCACATATTACCTAATTCTTTCCATCCATCATCTTTTTCAATTTCAATTCAAACCCTAACACAATCAATCTCGTTTTTCCCTCAAAAATTAGGGTTTCGTCAATTATCGTTCGTAATTTTTATAATTCTCCTGTTTGATTGAATTAATCTTTGTCCGAATGTTTTATTCAATTTTTCAATAAGTAAATCAGTTTAATTTATGTCGAATCTCGCATTCTTCCTTTTTTTCATGGCTGTTCGTATATATTCTTTAGGCTTTATTAACCGCCCGATGAAATTTCGGAATCTTATCATTCTGTATGGTTTTGCAGGTTGATAACAGAAATTCCTCAGCTGCTAAGCGTGCCAGGACTGATGGTGAGTCACAATTTGGCTGATTTGGTTGTTTTTCTTCGGTTTTGTTTTTTGTTCTTTCTCTGTTGTCTATGGATGAGGAAGTATTGTGCTGTATTTTAATGATACTCGATCCACATTCCTATGGCTTGGGGATCTGATATGGTTCTCGGGTGTGTTTTCATTGGTTTATGTTTGTAGGTAGCCGCAGGGAAGATGACTGGACATGCCCCAGCTGTGGCAATGTCAATTTCTCGTTCAGGACAACCTGTAACATGCGTAACTGCACCCAGCCAAGGCCTGCTGATCATAATTTTGTAAGTTGTTTTTCCAAGATATTATATTCAATGTTGTAGTTTTTACTTTTAAATCATGTTTTTGGTTTAATAAGTGATTTAGAAAGGTACTTTATTTGATAGAGTTGTGATCTTGTTAAAATCTGACCACATATTATTCTCTTTCCAGAAATCTGCTGTGAAGCCTCTTCAAGCTCCACAGGCCTATTCAGCTCCACCTCCTTATATAGGCTCCAATGCTCCCCCTTCGATATATCTTGGTGTCCCACCATACGGGTCTTCTTTATTCAATGGATCACCTGTTCCTCCCTATGAGGTTCCATTTTCTGGAGGATCAGCGGCCTATCATTACAATTATGGAGGCCGCATTTCTGCTGGCAGTCCTTATAGACCACTGCATCTAGCAGGACCGGCCCCATATGCAAGTGGATCCATGGTGGGAAACGGTATGTTCTGTTATCCTTTTTCCTGTCATTCAAATAGCTAAATTTCCAAAAAAATGATATTTGATATATTATAGATAAGTCAGTTTTAATTAATGAATCAAAAGATTAAACAGGAAACAATGAAGAAGCTATTGGAATTGTATTGATTGTTGTTGATTTCTTGTTATACCTCTCTTGTTTCTGTAGTGTTATCCTTTGTAGTTGTGCTCCTATTACAGTTATCTTTTTTTGTTGGCGATTCTTTGGTAGGTGGGATCTATGCCATGCCTCAGTTATTGGATCGCTATGGCCTTGGTGTCCCTATTGGACCTGGAACAATGGTATGTGCTAAACCATAAAAGCTAATTTATTTGAAGCTATTGTTAAGATAAATATATGTCCCTGCAGTTAGTTTTTTTATGTTAACTGCAACTATCTTAAATGTAGATATTTTTTCTCTTGGTTTATTGGTCTGCTTTGAATACCAGTGTATTATAATAAACTTTAAAAAAAATATTTTTTATTCACATATATACGGTAGTTTTTGTTTTTAATATTATTTTATATTTATATTAAATGCTGTATTCTGTACTCGTACCCAGTGTCGTACTCACACTTGTGCATCCTTGTCAGTCACAATGGTCTTGTCAAGCTATATATGATTTTTGCACCATAACATGCCATAAATTTGTCGTGCTTAATAAGTCTGGCTTTCATAATTTCATGAGTTTTTGTCTTTGATCCTTAGTAATCTGAAAAGGATATAATTCGATTGATAATGCAATTTGATAGTTTTGTTGTAAAGTGGAATTTATAGTTAATCCTTTTCTGAGCAGGGCACTAGGCCAGGATTTTTTCGCGATGACAAGTCTCAGAAAAAGGGAGGAGGTTTGCTATATTTAGTTTGTCTCATTCTTTTTTGTTCCCATAGAAATAGAAGTTTATTTGAAGATAATTTTTTTCTCACCCCCACCCACTTGTGTGTTTAGATGCAACTCGTGACAATGATTGGGCATGTCCAAAATGTGGCAACGTCAATTTCTCATTTAGAACTGTCTGCAACATGAGAAAGTGCAACACTCCCAAGCCTGGATCCCAGGTGTGCTACCTTCATTTATATTATGTAGATTGATTATCACATTTTTTAATAGTAGAAATAATGTCATGCTAATGTTAAACATTATTTGGCGTGGTTATTATGCTGCAGGCCTCAAAGTCCGACAAGAACTCTAGTAAGTTGCTTTCCATGTTTATCTATATTTTAACGATGCTCTTCTCTGATACAAATGCAACAGTTGGTAACTCTGTTACTTTATTTTGTACTTGCCAATCAGAGCAAAAGATGCCCGAGGGAAGCTGGAAGTGTGAAAAATGTAATAACATAAATTACCCATTCCGAACCAAGTGCAACAGACAGAATTGTGGGGCTGACAAGCCAGCTGAGTCGGATAAATCTCCCTCATCATCTCCAGAACAAAATGACCAGGTTTGTTAATTAAAGCCTTTTCAATTTGCTTGCCTTCAATAATTGTTGCAACAGAGATTGGTTTTTCATGAGCAGCTTTGCGACGTAGTGAATGTTTTCAAATTGAAAGGTGTCGTGAAGTTGTTTAAATCCTTTTTTTTTTGGAAAAACTTCTCTTATGCTTCCTGTCATTTGGATTCTTTTTGTTGCAACTTATATATGCATATATACCTAGTTGATTTCCTTTGTATCTATCCATTGCTATATTTAATTTGCAATTATTTACTGTTCCAGTGAGTACTAGGACATGTTTGAGGGTTGAGAAGGTCCAGAGTTGTCATCCAACATTGCTCAATTTGGGTGTCTGACAGTCAGTCTTGTCGTCCTCTATGTTGCAGAAGTTGTCAAGTCACTCACCTTCTCATTATGTGTCAATTTGTTGTATTAACTGAGATGGTATTTTGGTCTTTGTGGATTATTATGATGCACATGTCAGCCAGCTTTTCTGGCAGAAAGGTTGTTGCAAGTTCCAGTTTTAAGTTTCTTTTGGTTCTGAACTGTCTGCATTTTAAGTATAACTTCTGATGAATAGATACAATCAGCATTTTTGAAGATTCCAAGTATTTTTAGATTATTCGGGGCCACATTTCATGTTTAGCTACTTGGAAGTGTCTGTCTGTCATCCTACCACATTTAGGATGTATGCGTCAGCACTGCAGAAACCATTTTTTTTGTGTCATTGCTTGTAGTTTAGTTGTGTGGGTGATACGTATTGTGTCATTGTATTGATGTTGATAGTTGATTGTTTCAGTTACGTGTGGAACAATTTTCATCTTACAGGGCGATTTTTTGTAAGGGTTGAATAAAGTCTAACCCACATTTTAATAGGGTATCAATGCTGGGTTATGGTTTGGGTGTTGGTGGATGTATATCTAGTTGGGCACTCTCATCTTATAAGGTAGCTTTGGAGATGAGATCCACACCCAATTAAGATGTGTGGTTGGACACCCTCATCTTATGAGGTAGCTTTGAAGATGAGCTCCAAATCCAATTAACATGGTATTAAAGGCTATTCAATATTCATTATTGGGTCATGCTCTGATGTCTAGTCCTGAGCACGAGAGAGGTAAGTTTGGTGTCCCGCATTGGATGAGATATGGTCTAACACTGTATATAAGTGGGGATAATCCTCTCATCTTACAAGCCGGTTTTGTAAGAGTTGATTTAGACCTGATTTAAATTCTAACTGTTTTTAAGTGAATCCTAAATTTTGTAAATGGTCATGTAATATAAGCACCCCAGAGTTGGAGGCACTAATCTTTGTGTGTTTTGGGTCATTACCGGGAGTGTGAATCTTCATGAAGTTTCTGCTATCCCTGCCTTAGTTTGTTTCCCTATTTATTTATGCGTCACTGACATACCACTTATCACAAAAGTTCAGTTAAAAAAATTGGTCACTCAACAATTAATGGTTAGTAGGCTAATAGAGTCAAAGTCAATATGCAACCTACTTTCTACTTGCATTTTACCCGTATATTCCCTAAATATGCATAAAACCGCTGAACTTATTTATTAGTGCTTTCTTGGCTCAAAATTGGGAGTGCTATTTATTTTGGTTCCCTACTTGTGTTGTGTATGGCATTGCCATAACTATCAAGAAAGTTTAGTAAAAAGTTTGAAGTTTGGTTAGTTTGAATAATTAATGATGTCAAGTAGACTGTATGCCGTGTCAATTACATTGAACCAACATGCAACTTATTCCTAGGAATCATTTCCTACATGGATTTTGCTTGCATAGTCTCCAAACATGCATACAAATATAATCCCTGAATTTAGTGGAGTTCTTTGTTGGGTCAATAATGGGAGTGCTAATCTATGAAGTTTCTTCTATTTTGCTCTTATTTTGTTTCCCTATCTGTATAACAATGACATATACCTATCAAGAAAAGAAGAAAGTTTAGTAAAAAGATTAGCCGTATTCTATCTTAGGACTAACTAGAAGAAATAAATCAATGGGCTTAGTAATATTCTATTTATTCATGCTGTGCACCATAGTACTGTTCTATACTATTTTGGACAAGTATAGACAGAGAACCTTTGCGAAGAAATGAAGAACTCAGAAGCGGGTTCTGAAGAAGCCACTCATTGCACTTGTGTCCTGAAGGACATATCTTTAAAGAGACCTAGAGAAATGGATGGAAATTTTTAAAAGGTCCTCATTTATCTCACCACTCGCCAGCATTTGTATTAAAATAGTTTAAATTTGATTCATTAATAGGATTAATGTTTACAAGATTGCCATATTGTTTAGACACATCTTAACTGAAATCTGATCTGATTTGTATAATAAAAATAATTTCCATGAAACTTCTATAGGAACATTAAACAATAACATTACAAGTGATGTTGATGCAAGAATTTATTCTAAAGCCGATTTAATTATAATGCTAGTGAGATTTTCTTTACCAAGGAGTTTGAAGTTTCAGCATCATCGAATGAAAATTGAAATGAAGATAGTATATTTTCACCAATCCCACCACCTAGTTGAATTGTGGATTTAAAAGTTTAGGCCAACATTTAATTCTTTTTTTTTTAAAGTTATTTTTAGCAGCTTCCTCTAAAGCTCATGATCAGTCGACATAAGAAAAAAGAACTCGGAACGTAGTACTTTTGTTTTTTTGACGAAACTAGTATGTTATTAGAGATTTTGAAGATGCATAGGTAATTTTAATTTAATAGAATTTATATATGACTTTCTTTTGACGAAAATATATGCAAACCTAAAGGTTTCTGCCTCTTCCATGCCTGGTTATTTTTATCCCATTTCTATTTTTTTTACTGATGCACGGATTTTGGCTCATATATATAAAATAATAAAATTTAAATATAATATTTACTGGTATGATAAAATAATGAAAATTAAATCATAATAAAATTAAATCTTATTACATAAATGAACATGTATATAAAAGTTTGGACATTATACTAATGAGGAGGACGAGTTTGAGGAGGACATAAACATCTTCAATGCTTTCCTTTTCCCATCCCAATTTTAAGGGTAGAAGAAACGGAAATTTTATTACTTAACCTTCTTATCTTGATATTTTTTAAAATAGTTTAATTTTTTCATGTATTAAATAATTTACTATTTCTTCTGTCCCTAAATATAAGATTTTATAGAGTAAATTACGTTAATTAAAAAAGTTGTTTTGAGTATTAAATTTTAATTTATAATTTTACAAATTTTTCTTTAAGAAAAAGTAATAATTAATGGTTGTACAAGAGTATTTTACAGATTCTAAAAAAAGATATAATATTATTAAATGTATGTTTGAAAAAAAAATTAATGCACTTTAAATATAGTTTTATAATTAATTTTTAACATCACATGTCCACTTTTGAATGATAACCAATCCATTTAATGTCAATATCATGTGTCATAATTAGGAGGTGGAGGTGGTATACAATGTCTAAATCCAAACATACGTACACACGCATGCAAGTATAGAACCATTGCTTCACACCACTTATTTAGACATATATCGTCAAATAACTGCTCTCGTCTGTAAGACTCAAATGGACTCCATATGACATCAACAAGAGTCCGATCATCCAAGATACTCCTCAGCTCATTGAACTGTAGTGATTCTTGCTTATACATCCATCACATAGTAGTTGGGATTCAATTTTATTTACCAACAGTAAGAAAATACTTGTGTATCTAGCATTGTAACAACATTGATACTATCAATAATAAACAAATAAATATATAAATTAAAGTAAAGATAAATAGTAAAAAAAGAGATACTTGTTGTAGAGGGGCGTGTCCGCCAAACTGCTTGCAGGTAAACATAAAGACATCTTCTAAAAATCCGTACAATATGCCCAAAGCAGTTGTGTTCCAATTATATCTCCCACATGTTAACAAATTTCTAAAAGGGGTAGATAGTTTGTCTTTACAAGAGTAAAACTCTTGTCAACTCTTGTCAGCAAAAATAGTTGAGCCGACCAATATCAGCATGTTAGCTCTCGCAACATAGTTGAACTGTGATAGACCTTATTGGCGCAAAAATAATGTATGAAATCACTCTATAGTATGTAATTTGGACCCATACAACCACAAACCTCTCGTGTAGTTTCCTTTATGACCACTCTCAAAAGGTCAATGACAAGAGAAACATAACATTCTTCATCGAAATCCAATGGGATATTTCATAAATCACTTCTAATGAGAAGATGAAGAAGGCAAGAAACATCATTAAAAGTGATTATTATCATTACACTAAATGATATATGAAATGAAGATGTCTCTGGATGTCATTTCTCAACAAAATCATAGACCAAGTTGACATCAATACTCTTTTTTTGGACCTTACTCCTGAAAACAAATTAAAGCAAATTATAAATTACAAACAATAATTAAAATTGATGATAATTACTAACCTCTCCATACCATAACTGTTGAGTAACATGTTGCTCGCACTGATCAGAAGAGATATATCGTATGACCTTCTTGAAAATTGATATGGATTCAGTGGTCCACATTCATGCTCTTGTTGTGCATTCATCACCTGCTCATTTTATAATGCTCCTCTTCCTACTTCTCAACACGGAGTTTCCTCGCCTACCCTTTAATAGTTAAGTAATAATTTTAGACAAATTTGAAAAAAAACACCGCCATATGACTCTAACTCAAGACCTCTAGTGACAAACCAATTAACTTTTCCGAAAGTCTTGTACTAATGACACTCGATCAAATAAAATTGACTATTGAATGTCTTTAGTTAGTTCTATCTATTAATATGTATGGTCTTGAACTATAAATAATGATCTTTCTTTAGAGTTTGACTACTTGATCGATTCACATACTTCTATTATGTCAATATTAATCACTACTGTTGGTATTCTGATTCTAATTTATAATGATAGTTACATGTCTCATGATCAAGAGTATTTAATTTTTTTTACTTATATGAGTTTTTTTAATACTTCAATATTAAGATTAGTTACTAGTTCAAATAAGTTCTGATCTTTAGTTTTTTTTTGGCAAGGGCTGAATAACTCAGGCCTAAGTTATTCATTGTACTACATTTAAAAAACAAATATAGACAAATTACTTATAAGATCTCTAAAAGGTTAACAAGACTAGACAACTTCAAGTAATGATTTTCGGTACACAAAAAATTCTCCATTTTCTCTCAATGTAAATCACAAGATAGGATAACTTCAAAATCATAATGAGGAAAAAATTTAAATTTTCAAACTTATACTATTTACACAGGGGTATAATAGTCAAG